CTTAGCCAGGCATAGTGCCATGCACCTGTAGTCTCAGCTACTCAAGAGGCTGAGGTGGGAAGTCCATTTGAGGCCAGGAGTTCGAGGCTGCAGTGAGCTTGGATCACGCCATTGCACTCCGCCTGGGCAACAGAGCAAGTCTGTATCCTCTGCAGCAGCTCATTGTAGAACTTCCTTTTCTCAGCACATATTTGTTTGGCTTTCTACAGTGTTCTTCTCTTATTTCCCATTCTCAGTGTTAATTTTAATTCTGCAGATGCCAAGTTAGTTTCCTCATCACTATCCCTTGATGCATCCATCTCGCTTTTCTCTTCAGCCTGTTCTCTTCTTCTCACTTTCTATTCTTGTTTCATAGAGTCTGTTTTATCCTACATCATGCTGAGGACACTCCTTTCCTAGTGTATCCAGAACATTTTTCCCTGACATTTTATATTAGAAATCTCAGAGACATATTTTATCTCTAAACCTTCTTGAGAATAATATTTCTCTTCCCGAGCTCTGTACGGCCCTTTTTATTCACTCCAAGTAAGAATTTTTCTTCCTCATCCCCAAATGAGACAGGTCTATCCAGACTCCTAAACCCATCACCATGTTTTGGAGCAGCAGGACTGGTCTGAGATGGGCTTCTGTCTTGTCCTCACCCACTGGTTCCTTGACACTCTGACTCCATAGAGTACACAGAAATACTCATGTGACTCGAGCATGCATTGCTACCTTTACTCACCTGTCCTGGCCTTTGTCTGTCCCGGGATGCACCGTACCACTGTCGGGCCAGAGTCTATTGCCTGCCCTGTTGTGTCCTGGGTTACCATCATTGGGTCACTGTGGGATGGAGGGGAGGCAGGGACAGAGTTGAAATATGAAACAAATGAAGAACATTGTCCTGAGTGTTTAGGCAAGCAGATCTCTTTTTTTCCCCCTTAGTGTTTTTTAAGACGGTCTAATTTTCCTAAACGATGTTTACTGCTTATGTAATAAAATTTTAAAATTTAAAATATGGGACAACTGCCCAGTGTTTAAGATCTGACTCCGATTCAAGGAATCTGAGGCAGGAGTTAGTTAGCAGGACAGAGAAGAAGTATCCATCCATTTCTTTTATGGCAGATTCTGGCATCTTGAGTCCTGGGTTTGTTAGTCCAATCCACCTACCTTATTATATTATTTATGGACAGTTCTCTCAAGTCCTGGTGTTAGCTCATCTTTAGACTTTGGTTTTAGTGTTGTAGGCTTTTGCCTTACATCGAGGGCAGCTATATGAATGCCCCCCCCCCCTTTTTTTCTTTTTTTGAGATGAGGTCTCATTCTGACGCCCAGGCTGGAGTGCAGTGGCACAATCATGGCCTCAAGCCTCGACCTCCTGGGCTCAAGCAATCCTTCCCCCTCAGCTTCGCAAGTAGCTGGGACTACAGGTGCTCACCACCATGCCTAGCTAAATTTTTTATTTTTGTAGAGACAAGGTCTCACTATGTTGTCTAGGCCAGTCTCGAACTCCTTGTCCTCAAGCGATCCTCCTGCCTTGGCCTCTCAAAGTGCTGGGATTACAGGTGTGAGGCACTCCACCTGGTTCTTTTTGCCATTAAAAAAATGTGCTCATATACACATGACATGAAATGTATCATCTTAACCATTCTTGTATGTATTTCTCAGTAGCGTTAAGTACATTCACATCGTGGTGTGACTGATCTCCAAAACTCTTCTCATCTTGCAAAACTGAACCTTTAGACTGTTAGACAATCACTCCTTATTCGCATCCATCCATTCCCTGGCTTCTGTCAGTCTTCATTCTACCTTCTGTCTCCGTTTTGTCCATTAAAAAAAATTTTTTTAGGAGGCTGTGATGCTCACTCTTCTTTAAATTTGCTGTCTCTGAATATTTGAATAGTTACTCATGCACTCAGTACATTCATCTCGAGCGTGCATTATTTGCTAGACCATATTCTAGGTTCAGGGGACACATCCATGAGCAGGGGCAATATTGTCCCTGCCCTCAAGGAGCTGACCTTCCAGGGAGGCAAGCAAGACAATCAGCAAGTAAATGAGTTCAGACAGTGAGTCCCTTGAAGGCGGTATGCAAGTAATCTGACACAGAGTGCCTCTGGTAGTGCTACACTGGCCAAGGAGGTCCTGGAAGGCCTCTCCGAGCAAGTGATGGTTAGCTGGCCCCTAAATATACGTAGGAGACTTCCTCTCCAGTGTCGAAGGACTGGAGGAACAGTGCTCTGGGAAGAAGGACCAGCATGCACAAAGCTCTAACACCTGTGAACTTGACTGGTCTGAGGAATGGGAAAAAGATACCCATGTGAGTTGGGCGCGGTGGCTCAAGTCCGTCATCCCAGCACTTTGGGAGGCTGTGGTGAGAGGATTGCCTGAGTCCAGGGACTCAACACCAGCCTGGGCAACTTGGCGAGACCTTGTCTCTACAAAAAGTCAAAAATTAGCCGGGCATGGTGGCGTGTACCTGTGGTTACAGCTACTTGGAAGGCCAAGGCGGAAGGATCTCCTGGGCCCATCACGCCCTACCTCCCTGGCTAAGAGGCCAATACCAGAAGGCTTCAGGGGAGGCCTGCCTCTGTAACTTCCCCAGCAGGATATCTAGGTGGGACAAGATGCTGCAATTAACCAAGGAGGGACACCAGACCCAGTTGCAGGAGAGAGAGGGTCTAGGGGGAGCTCAGCACAGGGTGTGAGAGGTGGCCTAAGTCCTCTAACCAGACCCATCAACCTGTGGTGGCTGTGAGTTTACCACAGCACTCCAGCCTGGGTGACAGTGAGACTCCTACTCAACCCCCCCCCCCCAAAAAAAAACCCCACATGGCTTGAGCATGGTGAACAAGGGGGTGGGTGAGGAGGCTGGGTGGGCTCTTGTCACTCGGGCCCTAGGGGAGAGCCAGGCAGCTTGGATTTTACTTCAGTTGCAGTGAGAAGCTGCTTGAGGCTTTTAAGCAGCTGAGTTAGGTGATCTAATACTTGACTTTAAAAAAAAATTACTGGGTGCAGTGGCTCACGCCTGCAATCCCGGCACTTTGGGAGGACGAGGCAGGAGGATTGCCCGAGCCCAGGAGTTTGAGACCAGCCTGGGCAACATAGTGAGATCTCGTCTCTCAAAAAAGAAAATCTAAAACTTAAGTCGTGCTTACCTGTAGTCCCAGCCACTAGGGAGGCTGAGGCGGAAGGATCCGCTGAGCCCAGAAGTTTGAGACTGCAGTGAGCCATGATCGTGCCACTGCACTCTAGCCTGGGCCACAGATTTAGACTTTGACTCAAAAAAAAAAAAAAAGGAGATCTGTGCATAAAAATATACTTGGATTGGATAATACTGCACACAGCAGCACAAACATGTGTCAGCACATATATAATCGTCTCACTTGCCCCTATTAAATTTCTGCCACCAGATTCCCCCAGGAAAACCTTGGGAAAGTTTGGGATACATGTAGCTTTTCCCCCGAGTGACTGTAGTGAAGAAGCTGACAGATATGATTGCCTTCTGGACTGAACATCTGAGACCCTGAATGGTTGAATTTTAATTCACAAGCCAGTCTTCACTCCACCCTCACCCTTACCACTTATTCTTGCTCTTAGACGAGGACAGAATCCCCAGCGTGTCAGCTGAGCGTGAGGTCTGTTTATTTTCATGGTAGAATTGCAATGGGGTGGAGAAGTCTATCTCTGGCTACTCCTGTTCCCATTAATAGGCATATAAAAGTTTTCTATAGCCGGGCTCGGTGGCTTAGCCTATAATCCCGCGCCTTTGGGAGGCTGAGGTGAGTGGATTGCCTGAACCTGCGGGTTCGGGACCCGCCTGGGCAGCGAGACCTCATCTCTACAATAATAAATCAAAAAATCAGCCGGGCATAGTAGTGCATGCCTGTAATTCCGGCTACTCGGAAGGCTGAGGCGGAAGGATCGCCGGAGCCCAGCAGGTCGAGGCTGCGGTGGCCGGGAGCGGCCACTGTACTCCAGTCTGGGCGACAGAGTGAGATTCCAACTCAAAAAAACAAAAACAAAAACAAAAAAACCCAAAAGTTTTCTATAATCATATACGATCCTTAGAAAATAATGGTAGAGTCAAAAGTCTTTATCCCCCCCTAAGGAGTGAGGAGAGGATTAGGAAAATGCTTTGCGTTTACCAGATTGGTATTTAGAAAAGCGTTTCTTGGACGGATGTGGTGGCCCATGCCTGTGATCTCAGCACTTTGGGAGGCCAAGGAGGGAGGATTGCTTGAGCCCAGGAGTTCCAGACCAACCTTGGGCAACATAGCAAGACCTCGTCTCTACAAAAAAATTGAAAAAATAGCTGGCCATGGTGGCATGTGCTTGTAGTCCCAGCTACTTGGGAGGCTGAGGCGATAGGATCGCCTGAGCCCAGGAGGTCAAGGTTGTGGTGAGCCGTGATTGTGCCACTGCACTCCAGCCTGGGCGACAGAATGAGACCCTGACTTGGAAAAAAAAAAAGTGGTTCTTGCTAGAATGGAAGGAGAACACCAGTCCTTGGTGATGGAACTTCCTGACATATTCCACACCCTGAGGGCAGGGACGGCGTTGTGAGCCACTGTAGATCTCATTTCTGAACTGTGGTCATTATATCATGTGGCATTTAAACCACATTTTGAGCGGCCAATTTTTGCTAACATCTGACTTTGGGTCTTTTATTGTAAGTATTTAATAATATTTTTAAGAAGTTCAAAGAAAACAAAAACAAAAAAACTGTCTTTATCTTGCTTTGGTAAAATGGAAATTGATTTTGTCCAGGTTTGGGGAGAGAAGCAGCCTGTCATGCTTCTGCTCTTGACAGTATAGCATATAGAAACTAGTTCATACATGGATGAGCAGAACCCACACTTGGCACTGTCCTCCAAACAAACCCACTGTGTTTTACATGGGGCCCATTTTAAGTAGGTCTTTCCCAGGGTAGACCTGCATGACTACAGTGAGGTATGGGCATTTCATGAGCGGTCGATGTTTTGGAAAATGCCTGGCATCATTCTAGGTCTTTATTTCAGAAAACATCCTGGGATGGCACGGGCCCAAGTCGCATTCCACAGAGCAGCTGAAAAACGGGACACTTGGCTCCCTGCCATCAGCCAGTGCCAACATCACCTGGGCAATTTTACCCAACTCCACAGAAGATGAGCCTGCCTTACAGCCAGAGCCAGAGGTAAGCTAGCCGTCCTCTCTCGGGCACGTTCGTGGCTGGTGTCATCGCTTGTTCAGAAATACGGTGATTATATTTGTAACTTGCTCATCTCTCTGTTATAAGAGAAGACAAATTATAAAATGGAGGAATTTTCTGGAGAGACGCAATCAGCGATGTGCATGCCTGGCACTTCCCTTGTTCTTGCGTCTGGCAGCTGCCGTGGGTGAATTGTGATCCTGGAAGGAGGGGGCCTCCTATTTTCATGGAAATAGGAGTCGTTTTAACTCAAAGTGGGAGACAGTCTAACGGACCCATTAAAACGATGCCTTATTGACATGCCGGCAGCAGTTGCAATATATTATGTCGCTCCCCGAATTATGGCTTCTCCGTGCGGTTCCTGCTCATCCAAGCTCCTTCCTCGCACGCTCGACTCCTGCATGCTCCTGAACCGGGCCAGGAGCCGGGGGCTGTGACCGAGTCTTCTGGAAGGTGTTGCACTGCAGCCCAGGCCCAGGCTGCAGAGGGCACCGGCCTGCCTTGACGGGAGGAACAGCCTTTGCAGGACGACCAGCCAGGCTCCCGGGGGCTTCCTGGACTCCGTCACCTGCCCCACCCGCCTGGGCTCTCCTATCCCTGCCCCTACATGGCAGCTGGCAGGGAGCCAATTGCAGCCTTTGCTTTTGTCGATTTGACTTGGTGTCGTGAGTTCTTTTTTGCCGTTTCTTTTTCTCTGGATGCACGTGTCCTCTCGATATGGTTTCTCATGCCGGGCTGCGGCTACCTTTGACCATGTGTTAGAGGTGGTTGTTAATTTCAGCTGAAAACATTTTAGCCTGAGAACTGGAGAACGCTTACAAAATCTATTGAATAAGGTTGAAAGTCCTGTTCCCTCCCACCCCAGGCAGCTTCAATCATATGGTCTTGGTTGGTGATCCACTGACCTTTTTCTCCAAGCTTCCCAGGATCATATTCTCTGACAGTGACTTAGTAGCGTAGCTCGTACAGAGACAGATTCGTCTGCCCACAGATATTTCATTAGTATCTTTAAGGTGCTCTAGCAGAGTGTGGAGGGAACAGGGGCTGTGCACTTTTGAGAAGCATTTAAACTGTAGGTACAAGGAGTTTCGGACTGAAAAAATAGCACGCAGCTAATGTACAGGTGAACTGGAAGGTAAGTTGGCAACTGTGTAAATGGTAGAAAAGTGAGTTATTAAATCTTTAGTAATTATTTTTTTTTTTTGAGTAAGAGTCTCACTGACCCCAGGCTGGAGTGCAGTGGCATGCTTATGGCCACCACAGCCTCAACTTACTGGACTCAGGTTATCCTTCCACCTCAGCCTCCCAAGTAGCTGAAACTACAGGTGTGCCCTACACACCTGGCTAATTTAAAATTTTTTTTTGTAGAACCATGTTGCCCAGGTTGGTCTCAAACTACCGGGCTCAGGCAATCCTCCTGCCTCGACCTCCCAAAGTGCTGGGATTACAGGCATGAGCCACCGCGCCCAGCCTAGTAATCATTTCTTTTTTTTTTTTTGAGTTGGAGTCTCACTCTGTCACCCAGACTGGAGTGCAGTGGCCACTCCTGGCCACCGCAGCCTCGACCTGCTGGGCTCCAGTGATCCTTCTGCCTCAGCCTTCCAAGTAGCTGGAACTACAGTCGTGCGCTACCACGCCCAGCTCATTTTGATTTTATTGTAGAGATGAGGTCTTGCCAAGTTGCCCAGGCGTGTCTCGAACCCGCGAACTCAGGCAGTCCACTCACCTCAGCCTTCCAAACGCGCGGGATTACAGGCTGAGCCACCGAGTCCGACTCATTTTTTAGGTCTTCATTTCCAGTAGCATTCTTGGGCAAAACCTAACGGGAGCTAATTACATACTTATCAGGGCCACCGGTGTTCCTTACTCTGGAACCCTTAGTGTTCCTTCTGCTTTTGCCTGGTAGGTGCCCCTGACCCCCAAAGTTTGAGAGGCCAGGTCTCTTACTTGTACAGAAAATTATTGCTTGCTTGGCCTTACCAGCCAGTAGCATTACAAAAGATAGTATATAAACGTCCATGAGAAATAACTGGCTCCCAAGTTCAGCTTTTAAAATATATCCCAAAGAAAAAGAACTAGCCCGAACTTCGTTCATTATGTTAGGGACTGTCATTAATTTTTAGCTGTCATTTTTGTCATCAATGGTTTTGTCAGCACCGTATACAATTTTGTTTGATGATTCCATATAGCAGTGAGAGACTTATATAGAGTGAGGTGGTGTCGGGATGGTTGTCTGAGAAGGGAGACTTAGGGTCCTTCTGCAAAGACTCCCCTCATTTTTCCCATCGACTGCTCTGGTAGATGGTTCTCAAAACCCGAACAGCTGGTGTTGGTTGGATGCTATTTTTCTTTGTAGGCCGTTGTGTTTTTTCACATTTTCTCTCTGAGTGGTCGAAGAAGCTAGCGATATCCTCCCTATGGTTTTTCTGTCAGAAAAAAGGAAAGTGTTTCCATGGTCTCATTTCCGTACAATTTGGAGAAATAACTCTATAAGAAATGAAGGAAAATTTCCAGAGGCTAAGAATTCCTTGGGAGAAGGTTCCTTAACCTTTTTGATGTAGAGAATATAGTTACCTATGTGAGGGATTGTTGGGTGACTAATTTTTTTTGTTTTTTTGAGTTGGAGTCTCACTCGGTCGCCCAGACTGGAGTGCAGTGGCCGCTCCCAGCCACCGCAGCCTCGACCTGCTGAGCTCCGGCGATCCTTCCACCTCAGCCTTCCAAGTAGCTGCAACTACAGACGTGCGCTACCACACCTGGCTAATTTTTTGTTTTATTGTAGAGATGAGGTCTCACCAAGTTGCCCAGGCGGGTCTTGAACCCGCGGGCTCAGGCAATCCACTCACCCCAGCCTCCCAAGGCGTGGGATTACAGTCTGAGCCACCGAGCCCATCTGGGTGACTAATTTTAAGAATGGTGGTTATTATGGTACTTGGGCTAAATTAACTATTCTGGTTTATGGTTTCAATCATGTTAGGTCTTTGGGGAGAACAGTTAGGATACAAAGGTCCCTCCTCTCTGCTGGTTCAGGCTTACCATAAAATAACTTACTTCTGGAAAAATCATGCATGTTCGAGCTCAGTCTGTTTAATTCCCAGCAAAATAAAAGCTCGAAGAGCAGTGTGTGTTTAATATATGAGTTCGAAGAGAGTCGCAGTTGGCTCTGTTATCAAATGCAGTCGATCTTGGAGTTTCATTCTGCCGGGGCTAGAACTAACAAAATGTGAAAATGAAATATTCTTCCATAATGAAATGAATGAGGATCTTGGTTTTACCTGTTAGTAGAACAATTGCTCCACTCTCTCAAGCATTTGAAATGTCAGTTCAGATAGAAAAAAGGTTTTTGTGCTTCTTTGTCAAACATGCCTCGTTTCAGGACCAGAAGAAGGGTGATTGGCATAGACACTGCGGACTGGGTCTCTTGACGTTCCTTCCACTCTCTTGAATGAAGAGATTGAAAACCTGAGCTTCACGTCCCAGACTTTCTTAGAGTCAGATTCCTTTTTTTTTCTGTCAGAGTCTCACTCTGTTACCCAGGCTGGAGTGCAGTGGTCTGTTCATGGCCACCACAGCCTTGACTTCCTAGGCAGAGGTGATGCTCCCATCTCAGCTTCCCGAGTAGCTGCAACTACAGGCATGTGCCACCACACCTGGGTGATTTGGGGGTTTTTTCTATAGAGATGAGGCTTGGAGATGGGATATTCAGCCTGTATAGAACAGTTCTACCACCCCCAAGTTCCCTTGTGTCCCTTATAGCCAAATCTTCCCTCTACCCCTGGACAACCGTGGATGCTTCCTGTCCTTAGAGTTTTTGTCTTTTCTAGAACACTTCGTATCAGCGGAACCAGGTGGTGTGAAGACTTTTGAGGTGGGCTCCTTCCACTCAGCATAATGCATTGGAGATTCATCCATGTTGTTATGTGAATCATAGCAGCTCGTTCCTTTTTGTTGAGTAGCATCCACTGGGCCACGACTCATTTATCCATTATCCATTCTCTAGTTGGAGAACATTTGGTACACTTTACAATCTTCCTCAGAAACTCCGCAGATACAGTGGAAAAGGAAAGCAATGAAAACTAATGTTGTGTTAATTATTTGAGGCAACTGTTTGGTGCCTGGGCACTAACCTTAGAACAGTCAGTGCTATTAATCCCACCCCCGGGGACTCTAAGCAGAGGATTTTCAAACCTGCACCTCTAGAGCAATCCCATCATCTCTGCCATCCACTCCTGTCAACCTCCATGTTGCTTGTGCCAGTTAGAAGCTTTACCTAGTTAATTGTCCGAATTTTAGTGGCAACAGTTGCTACCAGGAGACCATGCACCTCCTATTCCCCAAATCTAGCAGGTGTAGAAAGACTTCTCATCATGTCCGTACGTGCTAGGCACTAGATCAGTGTATATGTCAGCCAAATGAACTTTGGTAGAAAATGGCGGCCTGGCACGGTGGCTCAAGCCTGTAATCCCAGCACTTTGGGAGGCTGAGGTGAGAGGATTGCCTGAGTCCAGGGGTTCAAGACCAGCCTGGGCAATTTGGTGAGACCTTGTCTCTACAATAAATAAAAAAATTAGCCGGGCGTGGAGGTGCACGCATGTAGTTCCAGCTACTTGGAAGCCTGAGGCAGAAGGATCACCTGAGCCCAGCAGGTCGAGGCCGCAGTGATTTTGAGCATGACAGAGTGAGACTCCAACTCAAAAAAAAAAGAAAATGACTCAATTGAATTTCAAGTAAGCATGTCATAATTCCTCTTCCCTAAGAGAGGAGAAGGTTTTAAGAATAACAGAAGGAGACATATAAAAGATTTAGCTGAGTTCTGCCACAAGAAGAACTGCCATGCTCTCAGTTGAATTGCCATTTTAGCACTGAACTTTTGAACTACTGAATAAAGCTGTCGATTGAAATCCTCTGACTTTCAGGTTGAAGCCTGGCCAGTACAATCCCCTCAGCCTGTTTTTCTCATATCTGTAGTCTTCATAAATGCACAG